AGCTAGTGTAATATAGTTAGAAGCTCACCATTCCCAACCTAAAGCTGCTCGCTGCCTGAGTAAGTGGAGTTGCCAGTGAGCTGAGAGAGATCTGCTGTCACATGATATGTGGCACCTGAATCCATATACCAGGAGGCATCCTAACTGTGGAGGTACTGCAACATAATTAGTAGTGGGATTAGCATAAAGTGATGGCTGATTTTGTGACAAAATCACTTGATTATGAGCGTTTGATGATGTGCCAGGATCATGAATCATTTGAGGTTATCTCGAGACTGCTGAATTAGATCCTTCTAGAGGACTGACTTGATTGACTTGAGTAGAGTTCTGGCCTCCAAGGTTATTGTAAAATGGTGCTCCAATAACCAATTGAGGTAGACATTGGACCTAAGTGAAATCCAGCTGGTGAAGTCATTAATGCAGGATTGTAAGGAGGTTGGTGGAATTTGGAGAGGAATATAACATTCTGGAAAACCAACTGGTGGTTTGGTGGAGTAACCAGGAGCAAAATTAGATTGCATCATGGAGTTGTTTCCTTCGGTAAAGCTTGTATCGAATCTATGATAACAATTTAAAGCTAAATGCCTTGTTTTACCATAGACTTGGCAGATAACATGCCTCTTCCAACTCCACATCATTTCCTCTATTTCCAGCAAATTGAGAGATTAAAAGGTAGTTGTGTGCTGGATTTACAAACTGACTTGGTACAGCATTCACAAACTGACTTTGTGCTTAATTCACAACTAACTAGAAGCTGGATGTACAAGTTGGCTGTGGCTAAGTCCAGAAGTGGGGTTGTGTTGTGAAAAACCAGAAGATTGCATGGTTGAAGACTGAGGTTGATCACTGTGATATTTCTTGTTACTATCACCGTTGTCAAGTTTACAAATGAATAAAACCTCCTTGAAATTTAGTGTTCACGAGTGAGTACAATCCAAAATTGGCTCTTTCTAATCTCAGTTCATATTCTGTAAATAACTTGTGCTTCTTGAACAGACAAATGATCAATTCTGGATTCTAACCTTGTGGTGATATTTACTACGGCAACGTCATACTCAGAACTGAGGCCATCAAGTATGTAGTTCATAGCTCTTCGTCAGTAACTAATGTTCCACTAGAATTCAGTATTTCAGCAAAGTTTTTCATTTTCATGAAGTAATCGTGAATGCTCAAATTGTCATTTCTAGTGTTTTGCAACAGATTCTTAATATGGAGTGTTTTAGTTCTTGACTCAGTGAAGAACTCCTTTTCTAATGAAATCCACATATCGGAAGAAAATTAACATTTCGACACAATTGTAAACATTGACTCAAATATTGAACCAAGAAGCAACTTACTAGAAGTTTATCTGTCTTTTTCCACTGATTATACGCTGGATTAGGTTTCTTTTCTGCAATTTCTGCTGATCCTTCACTTTGAACTTTGATGAAGGGAGCTGGAGATATCATACCATACCAGAGATGCTCTTCCAAGTTGTTTGAACCCACGGCAAACAGAATCTGTGATTTCCAAAATCTGTAATTATCCCTAGTTAGTTTAGGAGATATTACAGGTAGAGTACAAGACACCATTTTTGGGGAAATTGCAGAATTGATGGTTTTAGAGGTTAGTTTGTGATCTGAATTGTGTTGATTGGGAGAAAATTAAGAGAAATCGGCCATATGTGACGTTTGTCAAACGGCTCTGATACCATGTGAGCTGTTAAGCTTTGGAACAGAAAGAAAACTAAAAGAAAAAGCAAGATTCTTTATTGATTTGCTGAAAACAAAAATGGTATAGTAAATGGCACTTTTATAAAGCTGAGATAATAGTAACTAACTGTTAAAACAAACTGAACGAAACGCAGATTGACTAACTCAACTCACTCTAATTCTTTACTAACATCCTCTTTTAAGCTGGACAGCTCTGACTCTTACTCTTGACTCTTCCTAACAGGAAGAGATGAAAGGTAGTACACTTAACATTTTACATAGGCGGGAAACCAAAAATTTCCCACCGCACTTTTGAAGGAGGAATCAATAAGAGATGGAGTAGAAGAGAAAATTTGTTTACATTAAAAAAATTAGTTTATTAAAAAGTGTGCAATTGCTTAAAACGACTTTTATTTCGGACGGAGGGAGTAAATTACTTCTTAAATGACTTGATTTCATCTATTTTTTAGGTATCTGAGGTATTCAGACTCACATTTGAGCTGTCTAATCCTCATGGCCACGAAGCATGTCTAAGCCTTACACTATTGCTTCACCATCACCTTATTACTATAAATCACCATATTCATATCATTACAAGTCTCCCTCCACCACCTTCTCCGCCTCCGACTCGTTACTATTAAGTCGCCGCCACCACTGCGCAAGTCGTCTCCACCTCCTTATTACTATAAATCAACTTCACCGCCGAAAGCATCCCCTCCAGCACAGTATATTATAAGTCCCACGTCCACCATCTCCATCTCCTCCTCCTCCTTATGTTATAATTCCCCACCACCACCTTCGCCATCACCTCTTCATCCTTATGTTTATAAGTCCCCACCACCACCTTCGCCATCACCTCTTCATCCTTATGTTTATAAGTCCCCTCCCCACCATCACACTTCACCTCCTCCTCCGTACATTTGTAAGTCACCATCTCCTCAATCACCATCACCTCCTCCACCTTACTGAACAAGTCTCCTCCTCCACCATCTCCATCACCTCCTCCCATGTTTATAGTTGCCACCACCACCTTCACCATCCCCTCCTCCTCCATATGTGTACAAGTCCTCCTCACCTCCATCTTCATCACCTCATCCCCCTTACATTTATAAATCTCCACCACCACCATCTCCACCTCCACCTCCTCCTACATTTACAAGTCACCACCTCTACCTTCACCTTCGCCACCTCCTCCATACGTCTATAAGTCCCCACCACCTCCATCACCATCACCTCATCCTCCATATGTTTACAAATCTCCTCCCTTACCATCTCCATCCACTCCACCTCCATATGTTTACAAATTCCCACCTCCTTCATCTCTCTCCCCCCCTCCAATACATTTACAAGTCCCCCCCACCCCATCTCCATCACCACCTCCTCCATATGTCTATAAGTCACAACCTCCACCTTCTCCATCACCTCCTCCTCTTTATGTTTATAATCTCCACCACCACCTTCGCCTTCACCTCCTCCTCCATACGTTTATCAGTCACTCGCCACCACCATCTCCATCTCCACCTCCTCCCTACATTCATAAGTCACCACCTCCACCTTCACCTTCACCACCTCCTCCATATGTATACAAGTCACCACCTCCTCCATCACCATCTCCTCCTCCTCCATACATTTACAAGTCGCCTCCCCCTCCTTATGTCTACAAATCCCCACCTCCTCTATCTCTCTCCCCTCCACCTCCTTACTACTAAAGTCTCCTCCTCACTACTAGAAGTCTCCTCCTCCACCATCTCCCTCACCTCCTCCTCCCACCATTACAAATCACCACCACCACCTTCTCCTTCACCTCCACCACCTTATTACTACACTCCCCACCACCACCCAAAGTTTACTAAACAAGTCACTGTTTCCACTCGAAGAAAGTCCACTCCATCAAGCACAATGTTGACAGACAATATTTGTTGACTACATTCTGGAGCCAGATTTTTTTACTTTAATGCACACTTCATTATTGTAAACTTCTTTGAAGCATTTCAATTTTCACTTGTATTTTACACAGTCTTACTTCTGATGTTATACATTTCTTCTATTCAATAAATTAATACTTCGATTTTAAAGTTTAAACTATTAGAAAAAGTTCCAACAATTTGACCTGGTTCTTAATATTGAATCAAGAAATTTCAGCCAGCAGGTGAAGGTTTGCAATATTAATTTAATGAACGAAGATGATAGCTTTCTTATAAACATAACAATTAGAGTCAATTACATATTAATTATTTGTGTCTCAAGAACAGAAACATTTTAATTAAATAACGTGAAGACTTTTAGGAGAACATGTGGGCACAAATATTGGACAATAGAAATACTTTTTTTTTTCTTTTTTCTTTGTTTTTTCTTTTTTTTTTTTTTTTTTTTTTTTGTTGATGACAGGTGTTTGAGCCAGTTTACGTGCACCTTAATTAATCTCTAGGACTTTGGAACAACCGATCAGGTAAAAGTTTCAGTGACTACCCCTATTAGCAATCGAGGAGAAACTCGAAATTAGGATCTCTTGAGTAATACATCTAGGGCTGTTCAACGAGGCAAACCGCTCGCGAGCCGGCTCGGCTCGGCTCTAGTATGGCTCGTTAACGGCTCGCCTCGTCTAGAATCGAGCTAGCTCAGCTCGATTCATGAGAGAATTCGAGCCGAGTTCGAGCCTACCTCGGCTCGGCTTGTTAGGCTCGCGGGCCGAGCCAGTCTCGAATTATTAGGGGTGTTTTAGGGGTTTTATTAAGTATAGGGATTAAACTAAAAATTTTAAAACAAAAAGTTTGCAAAAATGACAAAGAACACCCCGATGTTAAAATCCCTAAAAACACGACTAAATCCTTTCCCCTAAAACCAAACCAAACCATTTTAGGGAAGTTGTCGGCGTCAGATTTGGTGGAGAGTGCAGGGAAACAAGGAGAAAGAAGGGAAGAAATTAGAGTTGGAGGAGAGTGCAGGGGAAACAAGGATAAAGAATGAAAGAACGAAAGAGAAAACAAGAAAGAAGGAAAGAAACAGAAAATAGGAAAAAACAAGCGTCATTAGAGGGAGAGAAAAGAAGAGAAAGCCAAAAGTAATAAGTAACAAAAGAGAAGAGGAAGAGAATAACTTCAAAGTTGGTGGAGACTGGAGAGAGTAAGGGAAACAGGAGAAAGAAAGGGGAAAAAAAAAAAGAGAGAAACCGTGAGCCATTGTAGTATGGAGAGAGAGAGAGAAAAGAAGAAACAAATCAATAATAAATTAGAGGGGAAAAGCATTGTAGTCTGAGAGAGAGAAAAGAAGAAACAAATCAATAAGAAAAGAAGTGTTCTGTTCACGTGTAAGAATTCGTATGTAATTGCCTATGTAAACCTGGATTGTAAACTGTACTTATGTATGAAAAGGCGAACAGCAATTGAAAGCAAAATGTATTTTCATTTATGTACAAACAAAAATTAAGACCCAATCTCAATGGAGTCAGACTCGTTACATTATGGCTGGTCGGGGGGATCCTTCGAAGCAGGACCAGAACCCCCTGCCTGGTCGGATCGTCGGGTGGCCACTGCTGCTTGATCGTCTTCCTCCGCCAGAATCCACAAGGTCTCTTGCCACCCCTCCGGGAGATCAGAAATGTCCAGATCTGGGTTCTTTGATCGCAGGGAATAAATAGACCCGATTGCCCAGTCTGCAGCCTTATCCTCCACCTCCTCTGACTGGATCCGCATTTCTTCAGTCAGAGAAGCGATTTTTTCCCGACTGTCCTGGAGTTCGGCCTCAAGAGATTGCCTTTCCTTTTCGGAGGCCTCCCTCTCCTGTTCAGCTTGTTGAGCCCATATGGAGGTCGCCTGGATCTCCTGGTCCTTTTCTCCGACCTCCTTAGAGAGCCTAGCGGTTGTCCTTTGAAGTTCCTTCACTTCCTCTGCACGTCGTTCGAGCTCTGCCTTTTGGAAGTCCACTGTTCGCAAAGCAGCATCCTTTTGGTTCAGATACCTATTCGCCGCTTCGAATGCTTGTGTTCTTTCTGCTTCGACGGAGTCCAGGCTCTACTTCAGCTTCGTGACCTCCTCCTTTAGGTCGCTTGGCCCCTTCGCGGCCCCCAGCCGAGTCTTCTCCATAGACATCCACATCGCAAGCAAAGCCTGCGAGCAAGAAATGAATTAGAATGAAACTTTAAGTATAGCTCGTTTACCTTGCTTAGATGCTAGAACAACGTGGTCATCAGGTCGTCGCCCGTATCAGCGAACTCATCATACGACTCCGATAGCCCACACTCGAGCAGAGAATAGACTATCGGCTACAGGTATTCGGGTAGACTCCCCAATGAGTCCAGCACTGGTGGGTCCTTCGCCTTGTCGGCAGGGATCGCCTCGCTCACGGGTTCCTTGCCCGACCTCCTTGAGTCCTGTAACGACCTCAAAGGTTCTTCCTCAGATTCGGTCTCTGACTTGTCGACCTAAATCTGCTTCCTCTTCTTTGACCTCTGGACCGGAGCCTTCCGCCTTGGGCGAGCAAGTGGTGCCTGAGCGACCTGTTCTGTCCTGGTCGCTTCTTGCACAGGACGGGGGTGGGAAGGCACGGCTGTTCGCACCGGTTGTGCCGGAATGGGACGAGCAGCTTCGGCCGCTCTCTCTCTCCTCAATTGAGGTAGGACGAACGGTGCTCGGCGAGGCTGCTCGGACTCCTTCGGAGGCATAGTTGCTACATGCAAGTACATTAGTAAACAAAACTATTCTGCGACCAGAAGGAAATCAGTGTAACTTACCTTCTAGGGGCTCTAAAGACGCGTTGTTACTGATAAAACCGTACTTTCGCAAGTTCGCGGTTGTCACGAGCTTCCTTGCGTCCTGGCTTTCCTCGGGAAGGACTCCAAAAGACATGAGCCTATCCGGGTCGTCAAGCAGGTCTTGGCTGGTCGTTCTATTAACTGCAAAAGAAGAAAGCAGGTCGTTATTATAAAGCATGCGAACAGACAATGAACCTAGCGAAGAAGAACCTACTTGGTTTCTGAAAGCGGCAATAGCCGTCATAGCAAAAAAAGAAGAATTTTGTCTCGTAGGCCCCCGCGTTACTGGGATAGCTATGTATCCCATCGACGATGGTAGGTCGTCGGGACAAGTAATACGAATCCTTGTCCCTACTCTTTTTAAGATAGTAGACGATACCGAGTTCCACCGCCGTTGGCTCGCCCAAGCCACTCTTGCAGCATGCGATGTACATCGCGACGGCGATGACATACGTGTTTGGCGTCAGCTGCGTCGGCGCGATCCCGAAGTGATCCAGGACCGACCTGATGAAAGGATGGAAGGGAATCATCCCTCCACCCTTAAAGATCTCTTCAGAGATCACAGCAAGGCCATCGGAAGGATGCCGTGACGACCGGGTGTGGTCGAGGAACACCTCTACATGGACGTCAAACTGTCTTTTTATCCTATTGAACTCTTCTTGGGTGAGAACCGAGAAGACATCAAGAGATGCGTCCTCGGGAACGTCCCGCGAGGACGAGCTGGCCGCTTCCTCGGGTCTGGACGTTGACGGTTCCATTCCAGAGTCTGCAACACTGACAGACAGGTCATTTTAGCCATCGCATGTTGTCCCGCACGGCGGCATGGGACAAATCCCTTAAACCCGAACAGTAACTCGAGCCGCCATCCACGGCTCGAATCCGACGATGGCGTCGCGCCTCTGGTGAAACACCAGGAGACCCAATGCCATTGCCCACCAACCAAACAAAAAGGAAGAAGAAAAAGGATCTTACCTTCTGGGACGCGTGACCAAGGCCGAATCTTATTTCAGATATCCGAGAGGCGCCAATCGGAAAAGAAGAACTTCCGGTTTGCAAAGGCTTGTCACTCGAGGCAAAAGGGATTTTGGTGGCGTCATCTGAAAAATGTGAGCTTTTATATGGACTGCGAACCAACGGTTACCACCTCTCGGAATCGAAACGACAGCTCTCTCTCTCTCTACATTAAATGCGCCCCACGTCGCATTCAATGCTGTGATGATGGTCGCCGTTTCAAATGTGTCGTGCAATTAATGCTGTCAAGATGACGCCAGGTCAGCACACAGCACATTTAATGCGCCTACCAGACGCTTTAACACGTGCAGAGCGCCTGACAGTGCGAAAACAGGTTCATTGAATCTCCAACCCTAAGGCACGATAAGAAACGTCCGACGAATCCAGGTCGCTGGGATGATGATTGTCAGGTCATTTGGGCAGAATGCGAGGTCGTGTTCGCAAAAGGCCCTGTCCCGAGCTTCTTCCGTTCAGGTCGAAATAACCAGAACCTCCAATCGCGGCATGACTTAGTTTCCAAGGTTCGATCCTCAAACCTTGAAAACTAGGGGACTTCTGTTATGCCTGGGAAAACAAGGGCTGACGTGGAAAGTCACGTGATGCAGTGTGACCTGCTCCCGTCAGAACGGTAGGTACACGTCAGGCCTGCCAAGCGCTATGGAGCTCCCACGCGTCCATTTCCCTGCAAATAAATCGCGTGAAATCAGCTTGGGAAATGAGCAATGAGACGTAAAGCCGGATTATGTCCTGACATTCACACCAACCCAAGGATTTAATGATGATTACACGCATTCAACTTGATATAAAAAGAGGAAGACCCCTTCATTAGGGGGATTCGGCTATTTTTACACTGGAACTCTCTCTCTCTAGAAACGGTATATTTACTTTCCCCAATCATTTGTAAGTCAGTCCGCTTTTGCGACCTGACCCACCATATTAATACAAATCAGTGGACGTAGGACTTGCTACCTTAACATCCGAACCATTTTAAAAGCTCTCATTGCATTTATTTCGTATTCTCTATCCATAATCACGTGTGTTTCTTGACCAATCAACGTTGCACACGTGTCGATTAGTTGGTGTTAGAATCAAGCATCAACATTACTTATATCATCAATGTCATTGTCGTCATCATCCACATTAGCATCTACAAAAAATTTCAAGCAAAAATAATATTATAAGTTAAAATTTGTTATTATAAACTAAATTGACATATGTAATTTAAAATTTAAATAACTAAATTAACTACTGTAAAATTACTATTTCGCACACTGCAATGTGCAAGCTAATGAACACATCACAACATTAACCAACTTCTTTAATATCAAGCCCATTCTCACAACAAACAATCTCAAACCCTAAACCCACTTCTTCAATATCAAGCCTCCCATCTCTACCAACTCCAATCCCTCCCATGCAACAAAAACAGAACACAACCAAATTCATTGAAGCCCCATTCTCACAGCAAACAATTTCAAACCCAAAAGGACCAAAACCCACTTCTTCAATATCAATTGTTCAACCCTCCATCTCTATCTACTCCCATGCAACAAGCCAACAACCCAACAAGAACAATGATAATAATAACAGTAAAAAGTAAAAGAAACACAAACCTCATTGGAGCTGTCGAAAATTACAGATTGAAGAAGAAGAAGCTGCCGTTGAAGCCTAAGATTGAAGATCAAAAGATGTCAAAGGCCCGAAGATTGGATATTGAAGAAGCAACAGCTAAAGATTGAAGAAGATTGAAGTTTGAAAATTGAAGAAGCCAAAGCCAGAATGATACGTTGATTTGTCGAATGAAATTGAAATGGGAATAGGGTTTGAATTTTTTTTTTTTTTTTAAATTTTTAGGAATGAAGTTAACCCGATTTTGTGCCAAAACCCGTTGAACCGGCAGTTCATCACACAAAATCCAGTCCAACCGCGGTTCAAACTAAATTAACTTCAATTAACGGTTTTTTAATTGAACCAACCCGGCTTGGCTACCAGTTCCCGATTCAACCGATTGAACCAGCCGGTCCAGGCCGAGTTTTAAAACCTTGATATTTTTTCAAAACTGCTAAGAAGTTAAAAGTCTAGGTTGGTTAAAATTTATCTACAAAATCTATTGTATGAACTATTTTATTTTTTGCTCGGTAGATTGTTCATAAAAATCATTGCCTGTTAAGCTTATTTCATAGATGTTGTCGCTGGTAACCTGACTGATCATAATTTTAAGATATACACATTTTGATACAAGCAGCCAGCAGATCAGACACTAAGTTTGGGACGATAACCATCGCTAATAAATGGTGCGGTAAATTCATCCAAGCAAGCCATCCTGATCCTTTCAGGAGTCGCAGGACTATCAAGAGGAAACCATTCACTGTGCCCCGTTTCGGCTCTTGCAGCCATAATGGCATCTTTGATGGCAAAGAAGACAGACGAAGCCAGAAAAAATGGAGGCTCACCAACAGCTTTGGAGGAATGGATGGCCTTAACATTTGGATGACCCTGTAAATCAATAAATGAAAAAAATTAAAATGTAGCATTGTTCGGAGTCAAATGAAACTACAGTTGATGGGATACTAAGTTTGACGATATTAAGGTATCAGCATGAAAAGACTTCAACTAGCGCTGAAATCATGCGTGGAAAGAAACCAAGTATTTAAGGAGCAATTGGTAGAAAGTATACCTTCAAAAGAGAGACATTGAATTTGAAGGGAACATCATTTAAAGAAGGAATTTTGTAGCTTCCAGGCCCGCATGTGTACAAATGGCCAGATGGAATCCACTTATGCGCCGCATCTCCCCACTTCATTTCCTCCAAGGCTAGCCAACCCAAACCTTGGATAAATGCTCCTTCAATCTGAAATAAAAATTTGAGTACAACACAAAAGATCAGTTTATAAACCTCCCCATAATTTCAGATGAAAAAAAAAAAAAAAATTTGATTTTCAGTTAAAATGTTTTTGACATCCAACACAATGACTGTAGCATCAACGTGACCAAGAATGATAATACATACTATAGTTCAACTAAAAGTTCTCCAAGCTTACCCAACAGGACTATCTAAATGGCAAATTATAGACAATAAAATTAATCCCTCAGATCCATGTTACAAAGGAGAGAGCTAGTTAAATGTAAATATTAATGTTGGGTTATTACCGAATAAATTAACTGGTTTAACAAAGGTATTAAAACAATAAATTACACAACTTGTAAAATTTTTTATGAAGCCGGATATTTAGAAAATGGACTTATATACAGAAAGGGAAAAAAAAGAACCTGTCCAACATCAATGGCTGGATTCAGCGAATATCCGAGATCCAAGATAACATTTGCAGCCCTTGTGTGGAAATCTCCAGTCAATGTATCAATTTCAACCTCAGCAAATGCAGCCCCATAGGTGAAATACCTGAAGGGGGTTCCTTTGCCAACGTTCCAATCAAAGCCGATCTCAGGTGTAATGTAAAATCCATGAGCAGAAAGATCTATTCTTTCTACATAACATGCACTAGCCAGCTGCAAAAGGTGTAAAACACAATAATTTTCTTGGCATTAGATAACTAGAAATAGTTAAATGAATATCAGGAAATAAGGGAGAAGCATTAAGTCACAACCACAAACAGTGAAGACAAGATTACCTCGGCAAAAGAGCTGAAATTATTTTTAGAAGCAATAGGTTCCATCCGTGCTTTAATCTGCTCACACGCATCCAAAACTGCAGCTCCATACATATCTGAACTTGCAGAAGCTGCTGTCGGGGAAGCATTAGGAACCTAATTTAGTGGCAAATACAAATACAACCCCATATGAGAATAGGCACAACAATCAGACCGTTGAAGTAGCTAGCAGAAATTACTCACGGTTAAGATGATCTGGATCAGTTTATAAAAAAGAAAATATTCAATACCAATTAAAATAAATCCATTTTAATTCATCTTACTTTGTTTGATGCAAGCACTACAAATGCATGGAGAAGAATATTGATGGTGAGAGTCAAAGAGTCAATTAAAAATGGACGCGAAACAATTTTTAATCAGATGAAAAGAGTCAATTAAAAAGACCATCTTTTTCCAATCACTCAGTAGGAAACATATTCAAGGAATTTAAGGGTTGTTAAATAATACTAGACATCATAAATAGGATTTCTCTGAGTTCTAGGCCATAGCAGTACTCAGAGTAAACTCAGTCCTTATGTCTACTGCAGACAATAGACTATATTTCTTCTATATTTGCATCATCATCAGATTTTCAATGTTTACACAAATACTCACTCTGAATTGAACAAGTAGCTCAATTTTTCTTAACAATACTCATTATATGGTTCTACTAGTACTTGAGGAGGCCGAAAAAACTGTCGGCAGTTCTACTGGTAGTGTCACAAGCATATAAACTACAGTCCATAGAAGAACCAACAGAAATTTTACTTGACGATTTCAAGAATGTGGAAGTTGAAAAAATGCTCAGTAGGAAATCCAATCATATATCTGAGTTGAAGCTGCTTATTAATTCTTTCCGATAAAATCTTTAAGAATTTGAACTTCAGTACTTGTAAACGCAGGTATGGAATTACTTATTGTAAATTTTAGCATATTGATTATATTATTCACTCTATAGCACATTAGTCCACCAGGGCTACATCTTTCAGTATTGCTCTAGTACCTTGTCGGTGCTTGTTTCTGATATGAAGACGGAACTGAGAGGGATATTGAAAGCAGATGCAGCAACTTGAGCAACTTTTGTATGCAAACCTTGTCCCATCTCAACACCGCCATGTGTAACCAAAACAGTACCATCTGTGTACACATGAACAAGAGCGCCTGCCTATAGGTGTTAAAAAAAGAAATAATCAGAACAGAGAGTTACAGAAATAAAATTACAGACCAAAAAGAAAAGTAAAAGGAAACCAACTTTATTAACATATGGTTCCAATGTTACCTGGTTCATTAGCTTCAGTGTAAAGGATATGCCAAATTTTGTTGGGACCATAGCAACACCACGTTTCTTCCACCGATTGTTCAGATTGAATATCTCAGCTTCTTTGCGAGCATTCAAAAAATCACAGGATACTTTCAGTTCATTCCATAGTGGGGCCAGTGTACAGAATTCAAGTTTTTGACCATAATGTGTTATTGATCCTTCACCTTGAAAATTAATTTCCTAAAAACAGTTAAAATTTAAAAATTAGTAATCAAATAATTCAAAGGTCATGAATAGCATTGTGATGAGCAACCAACAAAGCGGGTGTACCACAGGAAGGGTAGTGGTAGAAAGTAGGGGAATATTGCCGAATATTTGTTATGTAGGAAGTTGGGATTTGTTATGATGAAATATTTGTTGGGACAGATGGCAGGATATGATAGGATGTAGGTGGAATTCGGTTAGAGCAAAAAGGTGACAGGAGAAAATAAAAAGAGGAGGAAAGAAATAGGAAGGCATTCAGAATTAGAAAGTAAATTGGAAGGGAGGCTGCTGACCCTCGAAGTCAGTATTTGTGGAGGTGGCTGACCCTCAAAGTCAATCTTTTGTTTATCATTTTCTGGATGTACTTTGCATTACTTTTTCAAAGTTGTTTGCTTATTGAATACTGATAGGATAAGACTACTGGATATATATATTCTATGGATGTATTGTTCTGTTGAGGTTAATATAACAGGGTCCTCTTACTGAATTGTGATTTTGGCTTGTGAGTGTGGATTGTTTGTTGGTAGTTTTGGTTGATTTGCAGGTCAAGTCCTATCAAGTGGTATCAGAGCATTGTGATCTGGGTAATGGTCTTGACGAGGATGGATTCTAGACTGGATAATGTTGAGAGAAGTTACAGAGTTGGGAGTAGAAATGGGTACCATCCGGGAGTGTTTGGTGGAGTTACAATCATGGGTACGACGAAAGAATGAGGAAGAGGCTGGTAGAGCAGAGGTACATTCAACAGAAAATGTTCAGTCTCAGCACGAAGAAAATGTAAATGGAGCCAGTGGATCTGGGAGCAGTAACCAAAACCGCAATGAAATAAGGGGGCAAAAATTGGAGATGCCAATCTTTTCCGATGAAGATCCTTACGGATGGATCTTTAGAGTAGAGCGGTACTTCAGTATCAATGGAATATCGGAGGAAGGAAAGTTGACGACGGCAGCTGTCTGCATGGAAGGAGAAGCTATAAATTGGTTCCAGTGGACGGAATCCAGAACGTCGGCAAGCTCGTGGGCTATGTTTAAGTTAGCACTACTTCAGAGATTTAGTGGATCCCAAGAACTCAACCCATATGAATCCTTAATGGCAATGAAACAAACTGGTTCGGTGGTGGAGTTCCGTCGTCAGTTTGAAGCAGTAGCAGCTCTCTTGGTAGGGGAGAAAGAAGAGATCCTACAAGTTGCCTTTGTGAATGGATTAAAAATAGAGATTAGAGCTGAGGTTAGATTGGCCCAACCAAATTCATTAAACCAAATTATTGAGCTAGCCCAGAAAATTGAAGAAAAGAACCAAGCCTTAGAAGAAGCACAAGTGGGAGAAAACAAGGCCTCACGCACAGTTGGGCCTGGGCTTCCATATGGGTCCAGCAACCATGGATCCAAGAGTGCAACCCGACTTGACGGCCACAACCCGACCCGATTTGATATTAATCCCAAATTTCCCAACTCAATTGAATCCCTAAAATCTAACTCCAACTCCTGTTCCCATTTCAGTCGATGGCCACCAGAATCTTCCATGCAGGGATCATCGGCAACTTCCTCCACGCGTGAACCATCAACGACGAACTTCCGGCCATTCGAATGACAAGGTTTTCAATGACGAGAGTTTCCCTTTCATCGGATGACAGATGCTGAGATCCAGAGGAAAAGAGAGAAGGGAATCTGTTTTAGGTGCGACGAAAAATACTCGATTAGGCATAAATGTGGTGAGAAACAATTTCAAATCCCCCTGATTGATGAAGAAGTAGATGACCCAGATCCGATTGGGGGTGGAGAAACTGTCGAAACTGAAACAGAGCAACCACAGGAAAATGTGGAGCTTTCTCTTAGTTCAGTGGTGGGGATTCAGGGCCCGAAGACAATGAAACTCAAAGGAAGAATCCAAGGTAAGGAATGGATTGTGTTGATTGATAAGTGGGGCTTCCCACAATTTTATTAGCTCAAAAGTGGTTGAACGATTGGGAATACCAATGGTAGAGACTCAGTCCTTCAGGGTCAGAGTAGGTGATGGATATAGTGTGAGGTGTGAAGGGGAATGTAGGGACCTGTGCATGGAGATACAAGGGGTGACGATTGTTCAAAATTTTTTCCCATTTAAGATGAGTAGTGCTGACGTAGTCCTGGGTATTGCATGGCTTGAGACTTTAGGCGAGACCATTACGGATTGGAGAAAACAAACTATGCGGTTCACATTAGGACACCAGACAGCCTGTCTGTATGGGGATCCATCTCTTAGCAAGACCATGGTATCCCTCAAGGCAATGATTAAGGCGTTACAGAGTGAAGGGCATGGCTGTTTGATCGAGTTTGGGCAGCTACAGACTCAGTGTGAAAATATGGGGAGTATCGATGATAGACTGCTGAAGGTCTTGCGCAAGTTTAGCCAAGTCTTCGAGCCACTCTCCGGGTTACCACCTGCGAAGTCAAAAGACCATGCTATTCAGCTAGTCCCTGGAACACAGCCACCAAACCTCAGACCATACCAGTACCCTTATTATCAGAAAAATGAGATCGAACGTATTGTCAAGGAGATGTTGGCCTCGGGAATTATAAAACCAAGCATCAGCACGTTTTCCAACCCTGTTTTATTGGTGAAAAAGAAGGGTGGAGGTGGCGATTCTATGTTGACTATCGGGCAGTTAGCAAGGTGACAATTTCGGATAAATTTCCAATTCCCGCTATCGACGAATTGTTTGATGAGTTAGAAGGAGCTACAGTATTTTCGAAACTCGATTTGAAATCCGGATATCATCAAATCAGAGTAAAACCAGAAGACACACCAAAGACTGCTTTTCGGACACACGAAGGGCACTATGAGTTTCTCGTAATGCCTTTTGGCCTTACCAACGCCCTGGCAACTTTTCAAGCAGTCATGAATGACGTATTTTGGCCGTATTTGAGAAAATTTTTGTTGGTGTTCTTCGATGATATATTGATTAATAGCAGGGAGATGGATGAACACGCGAAGCATTTAAGCATTATTTTGCAGGTGTTATTGGAGAATCAGTTGGTGGTTAATCAAAAGAAGTGTCAATTCGGGCAACTCCAGTTGGAATATCTGGGACATGTCGTGTCAGCTAAGGGTGTGGCAGTTGATCCCACCAAAATAGACAGCATCACTAAATGGCCAAAACCAAGGGACATCAGGGCACTCAGAGGATTTCTTGGGCTGACAGGCTACTACCGCCGTTTTGTTCGCGATTATGGTAAGATCGCTCTTCCCCTCACTGCCCTTTTGAAAAAGGACTCTTTTGTATGGAATCCAGCAACTCAACGGGCCTTCGAAGAGTTAAAAAGAATCATGACCAGTGTCCCTGTCCTAAAGATGCCCAATTTCACTCAAGAATTTATTATCGAAACCAATGCTTCGGGAAGCGGGTTAGGGGCAGTGTTGATGCAAGAAAGGCGGCCTCTGGCATTTCTCAGCAAAGGTTTGTCTATCAATTCCAAACTGAAATCAGCCTATGAGCGGGAATTAAAGGCTGTAGTTTTGGCTGTGCAAAAATGGCGACATTACCTCTTGGGCCGACGTTTTGTTATCCGGACAGATCAACGGAGTCTCCATTTCTTAACTGACCAGAAATTATTAAGTGAAAGTCAGCAAAAGTGGGTTATCAAACTGTTAGGACTAGATTTCATCATTCAATATAAACCGGGACCCCAAAATAAAGCAACAGACGCTCTTTCCAGGATGCCAGATACAGTCGAGCATCATGCTATTTCTATGGGTTGTTTTTCCATACTAGACAATTTCGAGGATGCAATCCAGCAAGATGCCAAGTTACGTAAGATTATCCAACAGCTACTGATTGACCCGAATAGTCACTCTCATTTCAGATTGGTGGGACGCCATACCATAACAGGTTAGTCTTACCTAAATCCGGGCCTCACATCCACCAGATATTACAAGAATTTCATACTTCACCTATTGGGGGCCATTCTGGATTTTTTCGGACATACAAACGAATCTCGAATGTGGTGTTTTGGGAGGGAATGAAGAAGGATATCAAGGCATTTGTAGCTGCTTGCCGCATCTGTCAACAGAATAAATACGATGCTTTAAGTCCCACAGGTTTGCTGCAACCATTATCTATTCCTAACTAGGTGTGGGATGACGTTTCTATGGATTTCATTATGGGGCTGCCCAAAGCGAATGGGGTCGACACTATTCTGCTCGTAGTCGATCGTTTGACCAAGTATAGCCATTTTGTCACTCTTAAACACCAGTATACAGCCAAGGTGGTAGCAGACCTGTTTATCAAAGAGGTGGTCAGGTTGCATGGGTTTCCACACACCATTGTTTCCGATCGCGATAGGATTTTCATGAGCAATTTTTAGGCCGAATTATTTAAACAGTCTGGGACCCGTTTGCACATGAGTTCAGCCTATCATCCGCAGACGGATGGTCAAACAGAAGTGGTCAACCGTTGCTTAGAGACATACCTCAGGTGCTTCGTCAATAGCCACCCACAGTAGTGGCCAAAATGGGTGTCATGGGCAGAATTTTGGTTCAACACCACCTATCATAGCTCTACCGGAATGTGTCCATTTAAGGCTCTCTATGGCCGTGAACCTCCAACAGTGTTACGCTATGCGGACCATACTTCTCCAGTTGAAGATGTTGACCAACAACTTCAGCACCGAAACCATATTATTGAGGAGTTAAAGGCAAATCTTCTCAAGGCTCAAAACCGCATGAAGATGTATGCTGATTGCCGTCGCCGAGAGGTGACATTTGAGATAGGAGAATCTGTATATTTGAAGGTACAACCATATAGATTACGATCCTTACCCCGTCGCTATAATGAGAAGCTAAGCCCGAGGTTTTACAGTCCCTTTGTCATTACGGACAAGATTGGAGCAGTGGCATACAGGCTGGCCCTACCTTCTTCAGCCCGTATTCACAACGTTTTCCATGTTTCGCATCTGAAGAAAGCAACGTTCCCAATTCCCAATAGCCAGCCTCTACCGACAGCCCTTAACGAGGATTTAACTTTACAGCTTGAACCTGAAGCAGCCATCAAGAAAAGGAAACTTCTGAATGGCCAATGGGAGGTGCTGATTCAATGGAAGGGATTACCTTCCTATGAAAACACATGGGAGGATTTTGACATTATTCACCACCAATTTCCTGCCTTTCACCTTGAGGACAAGGTGATTCTCCTTGGGGAGGGTAATGATGAGCAACCAACAAAGCGGGTTTACCATAGGAAGGGTAGTGATAGAAAGCAGGGGAATGTTGCCGAATATTTGTTATGTAGAAAGTTGGGATTTGTTATGAAGGAATATTTGTTGGGACAGATGGCAGGATATGATAGGATGTAGGTGGAATTCGGTTAGAGCAAAAAGGTGACAGGAGAAAATAAAAGGAGGAAGAAAGAAATAAGAAGGCATTCAGAATTAGAAAGTAAATTGGAAGGGAGGCTGTTGACCCTCGAAGTCAGTATTTGTGGAGGTGGCTGACCCTCGAAGTCAGTCTTTTGTTTATCATTTTCTGGCTGTAATTTGCATTACTTTTTCAGAGTTGTTTGCTTATTGAATACTAATAGGATAGGACTACTGGATATATATATTCTATGGATGTATTGTTCTGTTAAGGTTAATATAACAGCGTTCTCTTACTGAATTGTGATTTTGGATTGTGAGTGTGGATTGTTTGTTGGTAGTTTTGGTTGATTTGCAGGTCAGGTCCTATCACATTGCCATGTGAACAACAGATTAACAAGATGTTATAACTTACCCTGATCTCCTCTGGGCTTTTCCCAAGTTCTACGGCAATTCTTTGAATCCAATTTTCAGCAATTAGCATACCTTGGGGACCCCCAAATCCACGGAATGCAGTGTGGCTAGGATAATTAGTGAAGCAAACCCTTCCCAGAATTCGAACGTTTGGTATCTCATAGACATTGTGCGAGTGAAACATAGCCCGTTCAAGGATAGCAAGAGATAAGTCAAGTGAATTTCCAGCATTATTGTAGATTTCAAGATCCAATGCCATCACTTTGCCCTCATTCGTAAATCCAACCTGGAAAAATTTGATTTTATATCATTGTTCTGTTTCATCATATTTAACTCCAATAAAGCAAACAGAGACATAAAGACAAAAAGGAAAATATTCAAATTGACAATAGCATACAACAAATTCAAGGTGCACCATTTCCTCTTTAACCCATTTTGATTATATATATATAATCAAAATGGGTTGAAATATATATATATGAACAACCACTTTACTAACTTTTGAAATGGTCTCCAGAACATCAGATATTATCAGTTTGAGTGATAAATTATTACCTTGTACTTTCCAAGAAAGCTATGTCGTTGCCCAGATATCATCATGTCTATATCTCTGTCTAAAGTGATTTTCACTGGTCGATTCAACAAATATGAAGGGACAGAAGCTACAGCAGCAAATAAAGCTGATCTTGTCTCCTTTCCCCCAAATCCGCCACCAATTCTTTTTGTTTTACATACCACTTTTGACATTGGAAGACCTAAAACATGAGCAACATACTTCTGATGTTTCTGAGGGGCCTACACTCAAAGAATTACTGTCATAATTCCATAACAAGCTATACAAAGCTGAAGTTTAATTTGAGGATCAACCATTTATCAAGCTCTACTACTCATACCATAAAGTTCAGCCCGATAAAATTACTAATCAAGTATACATATAACATTTTAATTTCATTATTGAGTAACCATTAATCGCTTAAGCTAATAGGACAAGGATCAGCAATAATATTTAAACTTTCAACTCTAAAACATCTCTTCATTTACATGGCTGAATTTAATTGACAGGCTTATCATCTATATCCAAATACATACAAACACAAACATGACTCCAAACAAAAGCCAAACTTGCTCTGCTTGATACTATAATAACTAATATAACAGGGGGCTGCCAATACATAATTTGCTTGATCAACTTGTCCCAATCCAAAATTTTAAATCTTAATTAGTGTCAAGCACAAATGTTTTTTCAAGCTAAGGTCCAACAGGCCCACTGTTATTCCAGTTTGACAAGTTCACTCCAACTTTTCAAAAAGGATATAACTTACTTGAGTTGACGAAATCATGTGCACTTCATTTCCACCATCCAGTGTCCAAACAAAACTGCTATGTGGCTCCAAGTAAAAGTGCTCTTGGCCACCCATATGAACTTCTCCTTCAATAATTATGTCACATTGACCTGACTGAAAACAAATATCTACATCCCCTTTGTTCAAACGTTTCTCTGTGTTAGGATGGAAACTTTTAGCTTCGATGGCATCTCGTATCGATAATATTGCTGGAAGCTCTTCATACTCAATATGAACACTTCTTGCTGCTAGTTTTGCATTCTCATGCGTATCAGCAACAACCACTCCTATAACCTGCAGAACATATACTTGTAAAGAAAACATCTCACAAAAGAAATCAACTCAAGATATAGCATCGAAGAGAAATTCATTTTAATTGTCATTGCCTTTGGAATGAGTAAATTATGCTGCAAGTGTAGGCTCATGTTTACGATTTTATGGAGTCACATTGCTTTGGATCATCACTACTAAAACAATAAAGGGGCCATCCATAGTCAGAATCAATGTTTGCCTTAAATTACTTAGTTGAACATACCAGCAGATCCTCTCTGTGGGATTTCAGAGCACAGCACTAATTTTATAAAAATAAAAAGTTAATAGGAAAAAAAAAAGGAGTAAGTTCACACCTGACCCACACAAGTGACAACTTCTGAAGCAAATAGCTCCTCGTCGTAAACAACTGGTCCAATAGTATTATCACCTGGCACATCCTCAGAAAAATATATGCCCACAAACCCAGGTGAGGACCTGGCTCCTGAATCATCTATTGAAAGTATTCGGGCATGAGGTTTTCTGCTCATTACTAACGCAGCATGCAAACCATGAGAAGGCATTGGTGTGTCATCAGTATATTCTGCCTCCCCCGTAACCTGCAAGAAGTAACCATATCAACATGATCTTTGTGGACACAAATCAAAAAGTAGATACAAGTGAATGGCAATATGAAAATCAAAGTCTGCAAGTACTTTCACATCAAATACAGGAACATATCAGCCTAACAACATGATAGGATCTAGAGTTTCCAAGTGCTCATTGGTATCCACTGTCCACAACCTCAAACAATCGTGCAACGGAAGCTATCAGTCAAAATAATAGTAAACAATGATTTGCAGCACCAAATGCAAAATTTAAAATAAAATAAAATAATAAATGAAGGGAATGAGTTGAGTTGAATTAACATAGGCAACCCAACTAGTTCGGCTTAGCTGACTTGAGTGAACTAAGCAATGTGCTGAAGACACCAATGGAAAAGACCTTCAGATGTCATATGCAGCATTAGGACATCAAAAAGAGATAGCAGTACCAGAGATGCTCATATTTTGAAACAAGCACATAGATAAACGGACACAGAGTTTGCAGCAGAACCCTAAATAATTAGTGCTGTAGTAAAAATGGTTAAAACATGAAAAATAAGAAAAATGCTGCAAGCTGGAGACTGGGAGTCTATAAACATCAGAAACTGCTGAAAAACCATTACCTCATGTGCTCTGGTATATGTAATTAATTCTTCTCAAAAAAACATATACTATTAATCATGCAATCATGTTTTGGAAATTTGACATTAACTTATTCACAAATTACTCAAGAAAGAAAATAGTCTCTACCAAAACTGCATATTAGAGGAAGTTAACCCTCCAAAGATCTAAATACCAGATACTACATAATATATTCACTGAAAAAAACTAGCATGCATGCATGCTCAAAAATAATGCAAGTCCGATATAACATCCGGAAAAGAATGCACATGAACTTCCACCTATATCAGCAAACATAAAATTATTCTGCTAGATAGAATTTGTTCTCCAACTCTACAAACCTGAAGTTTCGCTGAGAGATGAACCTCAGGAGAGCCCACAGATGTTCCATGTTTTATAATATCATAGTCCTGACTTCCTATAACAGATGGTCGGTGAAATGGTTGTACAGCTGACAAATGAGTTGATGGAACGCTTTCCCTAACAGATTTATTCCCATCCATTTGATGAGAGACCCATAGGAAAAATTTAAAGAAGAAACTAAGAGTTAAAGATCTCCGAAACTCCACCATCCCACCAGGAGCATCTTCTTTGATCACAATATCTGTTTGTAAGATTTTCAAAGCACTTTGCAACAGCTCATGCGTCCAATTCTTGCCTATGATAAATTCTTTTGTCTTCGATGCAGAGATAGATAGAGGAGCAACCCCACCATAAGCGATTGATGCATCCAAAACAATCAATTCTACTCCTTTTTCCTCAAGATAGACACGCATTCCAGCATTTACAATTGCAATATCATCCTCCCTTCGATGTGCCTGCTTAAATTCTTTAACAAACTCAAAACGCCTAGTCCAAGGTAAGAATATGGATAGTAATATTTCATCACTTGCCATATTCACCTTTCGATAACCCAGGAAAAAATCTTCAGCCAAGGCCATTCTAATGTTCCCTTTGCTGTCAATGATTTGAAATTTCGCTCTTGAAGCCATCCAGAGAGGGTTCAAGTCTGAAATTGGACTGGCTGTACAGATATTCCCTCCAACAGATGCAACATTCTTAATCTGAGTGCCAGCAAACCATTTCAATTGCTCAATAAAAGCTTTGCATGATGATGTTTCATCTGCTGGACGCTCATTTACAAGCTTTCTAAAAGTTTTCAAGAGTTCAGTCAGTCTTACAGCAGCACCTATCTCTAACCCATCATCCTTGACACTCAGTACATTGAGTTCTGGTACATGTGTAACAGAGATCAAAACCTGATACTGCATTCTCTTCAACCTCATTTCAATCCCAACCTCAGAATTACCAACCAATAACTTTGCATCTGGGTATTTTAGCTTTAACTCAAGCAAATGTTGAAGTTCTAAGGGTCGATACCACTTGAGCCCTCCAAATCCACTTAATTTCAAAGGATTTAATTTTCTCAACAACAGATCTGGAGGAAAAATAAGCTCTTTTTCAGTATATGTGCTCCCATCTATCTCACTGTATGAGACAGGTTCATAAGTCCTGCCACAAGCCACACCTTCTTTACAGGGGTGCACATTGCTTCCAATTTCTGGTCGACATGAACAGGGTTTACCAGTTGAAGGGCAAACAAATTCTCCCTCTTTAAGACTTAGTGAAGACATATTTGTGTACACTGCATCATTAGTTTTAGAGAAAACCCGAAATGCATCAACAATTGGTCTGTAACCTGTGCAGCGACACAAATTTCCAGCAAGGCATTCTTCAATTTGCTCTTCAGTAGGCGCTGTCTGACTTGACCTCAATAATGCATACATTGACATGATAAAACCAGGAGTGCAAAATCCACATTGGGACCCATGAGCACGTGCAAATGATTCCTGCAGAACATAATGGAAATGCACATATCTCACAAACAATAAAACAGAAAACTAATCCAAATTTTACAGCATTAACCCAAAATCCCCTCTCCTTATCTTTGATGCTACCAAATATCTGATCATTACCTCTATTATCAGAAGAATTTATAGTAGGCAAAGAGCACTGAACAGAATGTACTATTACTAAACCCAAACCAATGGTAATTATAATCACTCTTAACAAAAAAATCAATGATATAAAATGACACAGCACAAAAAGAATCATATATTACTTGAATTGGGTGCAAGCCATGTTTGCGATTTCCAACTCCCTCCACCGTAATCACATGCATCCCTTCTACAGAGTACAGAGGAGCCAAACATGCATTGACAGCATAATGCCTGAAAGAAGTTTTCCACAATACTTTTCTCATTTGTTTCTAAGGCACAGTAGAATGTAAGTGAGAGGGAGGGGCCAAAGAGAAACTCACACACATTTCTTCGATTTTTTATCATAATGAGAAACCATGACAGTGCAAGCCCCACAACCACCTTCACCGCAGCCAAGTTTTGTCCCCGTCAGACCGATATCTTTATTACCAGAAACAGACTAGAATGAGATTCCACCGTATCAATGAAGTATTTATAAAAGAAAAATAACTACATCCCCTGATGAATAAGCTTACAATGAGAAAAAGTGAAGGCTTTGCAGCCCTTTTTAAGAGAAAAAAATTGTACTTTCATCGGTCCAAGCAAAGCCCAAAACTTTTAAGCCTAACACATATACTCATTGAAATTTCCTCGTTTCTTTTAATCAATAAGGTTATATTTATGAAGAATTACGATAACCCATATGTTTAACGTACTAGAAAAGAATCAAAAAAATAAAAATCAAGCTCAATATAAACATTGGGATAAGTCAAGACTCAAAACTCCAATTTGGGAAAAGAGAATAAAATTTCGTTACAGAAGAACCCAGTAACCAATTAGTACATTAAACTCCTCATTGGTAATGAAAAAATATTTGCCTCTTTATATTACACTTACCGGGCAACAAAACATTACAAAGGACAGAAATAGGAGCTCATACATGAGCAAAATCCATCGGTTTCAAAATCACATATAAATGAGATTCAAAAACTAACTTCCATCATTTATATTCAGTTTTTTCAGCAATGAAACCAATCATGAAAGAAGTCCCAAAAAAAAGCCTGAGCACAAAAATCTTAACCAAACAATAGATAACTAGATCCAAATTACAAATCCAGAAACCCTCTACCTGGTGCAACTTAAAAAGCCTACTGACACATTATATACTTGCTTCTGTAACACAAGATTAAAAGCACATTTTCCCTTCATTCCCTTTCATTTTCTACTAAACTAAACACACTCCATATACCCAACTAAGCTTACACGAGTGACAAAAGGATCCATTTATCAAACGTAAGTGACAATACTTCATTTACCAGCCTTATATTAAGTAAAAACCAAGCTCAACTCAATTAACAGGAGTGAGAAAAACTGATTAATTGACTAAACCTCATCGTCCAGCTTTTGGATTGGTGTGAGGTGACTAAAAATTCAAAACTTTTTCTCCCTATCTAACATTTCATGCCTTCATTAATCACTTCATGAATTTGATCTAAATCCCAAAATATCACAACCATAAAAATCTAACTACCTTCAAAAAAAAAAAATAATAAATAAAAGCCTTGCCCACATGATCTCAAACTTAGCTAAGTTGATTCAACATTAAAACTCACTCATATTTTCTGTTTCATGCCCTCTTTTTTTTTTTTCTGGGGAAACCAAACAAAATTCCATTGATTCAACACAACCCACAAAACATCAAGCTAAACAGAACTAAACTCAAGATTCAAAAGACCCTTTAATTCAAACAAAACTAAACAAAAAAAAAACATTACCTCTGAGATATTCAATAAGAGTCAAGTGAGCCAAGCCATCAGGCAACACTTTACGGACGCCATTAACGTACAAGATCGCCTCTTCGGTCCACTCCTCGCCCATTAACTCAATCTTCTCTTCGTTCTTCAAAGACCCCATGAGGATTATCGATTGAGAAGACTAAATGATTTAATATTTGTGGGTTTCTTTCTTTGTTTAATGTTCACGTTTGTTGGGTTTTAAAAATGGAAAGTTGAGTGTGTATGGCGGGGGAAGACGATTAAATATTGGAAAGATTGAACAGAGAGAAAGTGGGATAAGTTTGGAATTCTGTGAGAGGTGATGTCACCATAAGGGCTACTTTTCGGACAGTATCGACTATCGAGTAGGATTAGATTGAAGACAAGAAGAGTTGTACTTTGATTGAAGAAAGACGAGTTGTACTTTGATTTGATTCTCCAACCTCAGAGTCAAAGTGATTATTTCCAAGATCTCATGACGTCGGTTTAGATTCAAGAAAATATAATAAAATAATTTTAAGAATACAAATTCAACTGGGCATGTTCGGTATATTTATTTTAAATCATAGCTTCTGAAGAAAAAAAAAAAAAAAATTTAAATATAGATATTTTAAAAAATATCTTTTTTTTAACCTTTATATTTTTTTATTTTTTTAAATAACCTCTATATTTATTAATTTAATTAAACACTCTTATAATAAAAATTTATAAATTAACAAAAACATTCTTATCTATCCAACTAATTGTCAACAGTCATCCATCACTGTCAAACAATGACTTACAATCATCAAAATAGTGCACGACCAACTGAATCTGGCTGGTCGTTGGTCATTCTAACGCCGACAACCGCGATGGCAACCATGTAAAGTTTATATGTAAGAAAAATTAAATAAATTATGCGGAAATATATGTCAAACATTTAGGAGGCGTTTAGTTAGGGGGTATTAGAGATTACTGAAGTTAAGTCATCTTATATTACTTGATTACCATGTTTGGTTGTCAAGTAATATAAGATACCAGTAATCTTCAAATACCAATAGTGATTACTATTGGTAATATTGGAGGTAATCTGATTACCTCCATTTTCTTAGTTATTCAAAGATTATCAGGGTTATCTTTTTTTGTTACAATTTTATCCCTTATTAATAAATTTTAGGATAATAATGCCCTTATTTTTAAATTTATTTACATGAATATAGCTTTTACTATTTTATCCTCAATTAATTAACTTTTTGAACAAAATTACCTTGAATTCAAAATAAATTACAGCCCACCCAAGCCACCACCCCAGCCAACTACCGCTGGTAACGACCGTTGCAGGAACGGTGTATAGAAGGCCGAAAATGGCCGTCGTGCACCGATATGGCCCCAAATATCTAGCCGTTGATGACCAGATCCATCATCGATCCGGCCAAAAATGGTCATACGATGCACGGAGGCCATTTCCTGTCTTCCGTGCGCCGCTAGGTTACCGGCTGCCGGCGGTGGTTGCCGGCGGCTGGCAGTGGCTGAGTTGGTGGGGGTGCTTTGTTAATTTTCCAAATTTTTATTATGGGGTTATTTTTGCTAAGTTTTAAAATGCAGAAGGGTTATATAATCCAAATAATAATCAATATTAAAAAATAATATAATAATAATATTTAATTAGAGGACAATTCATTCATTTAAATAACATACTCACCAATTTATTCCTCCTAACCAAACATATTAATATAACATACCCATCAATTAACCAAACAAATTTTCCTAAAGATTTCCAGTAATCTTCAAGGTAATCTAACTTTCCAGTAATCCAATATTCTCATAAATCTAACATTCCCTAAACCAAACGCCTCCTTAAAGTTATCATATTTATTAAAGGATGACAAAACAGTTGTTAACCCTCTTCAAAACACTTGTAAAATGAACTATTTGACTTATGACCAGATGAAAAGACTGTAAGTTACCTAAAAGTCTTATGTTCAAATCACATAAAGTGGTCATTCATCTATTACATTTATTACTTACCTTAACCATTGGACTTGTAAGTATTCAAGAAACCTCATAGATTAGTTGAGATGTACTTAAACTGACCCAAATATCTAGGCTTGGACATCTTGGTAACTCGATTACCAAAAAAATACGTGTAAATTTCATAAAAAAATCAATAACATGTGTCATAAAGAGAGTTAACCACTATGATGATCACGATTCCAGCTAATATTTCATAGGATAATTTGATATGATAAATTGATAATCATGAAATTGGATTCATTGTCTACATTAATTTATCTTTAATTTTAAGTTATTCGATTATATTAAAACTCATTAGTTTGTAAAAATGAAATGTCGTAAGAAGCTTATGAAATGAAGTGTTTTTCAAAATAATAATAGATTTTGAGAAAAATGGAAGTACCATATTATTTATAAAAGTTTTAATAATAAAATGAGTATTTTTTTTTTTTTTTTTGTTAACTAAGATGTTTGGATCCGTTTATGTACACCTCGGCTAATTCTTAAAAGAAACAACCTACCATCACAATCTATCGTGGGCAAAGGTATTATCTCTACACTAGATAGAGAATAGTAAAAATGAGCATATTTATTTGTAAGATATATTTATTAACAGTGAAAATAATATGATTTGACAATTAATTTTCGATAGTTTTTATTAGTCATAAATCTGAACCTCAGGAGAGCCCACAGATGTCCCATGTTTTAATATCATAGTCCTGACTTCCTATACAGATGGTCGGTGAAATGGTTGTACAGCTGACAAATGAGTTGATGGAACGCTTTCCCTAACAGATTTATTCCCATCCTTGATGAGAGACCCATAGGAAAAATTTAAAGAAGAAACTAAGAGTTAAAGATCTCCGAAACTCCACCATCCCACCAGGAGCATCTTCTTTGATCACAATATCTGTTTGTAAATTTTCAAAGCACTTTGCAACAGCTCATGCGTCCAATTCTTGCCTATGATAAATTCTTTTGTCTTCGATGCAGAGATAGATAGAGGAGCAACCCCCCATAAGCGATTGACGCATCCAAAACAATCAATTCTACTCCTTTTTCCTCAAGATAGACACGCATTCCAGCATTTACAATGCAATATCATCCTCCCTTCATGTGCCGCTTAAATTCTTTAACAAACTCAAAACGCCTAGTCCAAGGTAAGAATATGGATAGTATATTTCATCACTTGCCATATCCACCTTTCGATAACCCAGGAAATCTCAGCCAAGGCCATTCTAATGTTCTTTGCTGTCATGATTTGAAATTTCGCTCTTGAAGCCATCCGAGAGGGTTCAAGTCTGAATTGGACTGGCTGTACAGATATTCCCTCCAACAGATGCAACATTCTTAATCTGAGTGCCACAAACCATTTCAATTGCTCAATAAAGCTTTGCATGATGATGTTTCTCTGCTGGACGCTCATTTACAAGCTTTCTAAAAGTTTCAAGAGTTCAGTCAGTCTTACAGCAGCACCTATCCTAACCCATCATCCTTGACACTCAGTACATTGAGTTCTGGTACATGTGTAACAGAGATCAAAACCTGATACTGATTCTCTTCACCCTCATTTCAATCCCAACCTCAGAATTACAACCAATAACTTTGCATCTGGGTATTTTAGCTTAACTCAAGCAATGTTGAAGTTCTAAGGGTCGATACCACTTGAGCCCTCCATCCACTTAATTTCAAAGGATTTAATTTTCTCAACAACAGATCTGGAGGAAAAATAAGCTCTTTTTCAGTATATGTGCTCCCATCTATCTCACTATGAGACAGTTCATAAGTCCTGCCACAAGCCACACCTTCTTTACAGGGGTGCACATTGCTTCCAATTTCTGGTCGACATGAACAGGGTTTACCAGTTGAAGGGCAAACAATTTCTCCTCTTTAAGACTTAGTGAAGACATATTTGTGTACACTGCATCATTAGTTTTAGAGAAAACCCGAAATGCATCAACAATTGGTCTGTAACCTGTGCAGCGACACAAATTTCCAGCAAGGCATTCTTCAATTTGCTCTTCAGTAGGCGCTGTCTGACTTGACCTCAATAATGCATACATTGACATGATAAACCAGGAGTGCAAAATCCACATTGGGACCCATGAGCACGTGCAAATGATTCCTGCGAACATATGGAAATGCACATATCTCCAAACAATAAAACAGAAAACTAATCCAATTTTACAGCATTAACCCAAAATCCCCTCTCCTTATCTTTGATGCTACCAAATCTGATCATTACCTTTATTATCAGAAAGAATTTATAGTAGGCAAAGAGCACTAACAGAATGTACTATTACTAAACCCAAACCAATGGTAATTATAATCACTCTTAACAAAAAAAATCAACGATATAAATGACACAACACAGAAAGCATCATATATTACTTGAATTGGGTGCAAGCCATGTTTGCGGTTTCCAACTCCCTCCACCGTAATTACATGCATCCCTTCTACAGAGTAGAGGAGCCAAACATCATTGACAGCATAATGCCTGAAAGAAGTTTTCCACATACTTTTCTCATTTGTTTCTAGCACAGTAGAATGTAAGTGAAGGGAGGGGCCAAGAGAGAACTCACACACATTTCTTCGATTTTTTATCATAATGAGAAACCATGACAGTGCAAGCCCCAACACCACTTCACCCGCAGCCAAGTTTTGTCCCCGTCAGACCGATATCTTTATTACCAGAAACAGACTAGAATAGATTCCGCTGTATCAATGAAGTATTTATAAAGAAAAATAACTACATCCCCTGATGAATAAGCTTACAATGAGAAAAAGTGAAGGCTTTGCAGCCCTTTTTAAGAGAAAAAAATTGTACTTTCATCGGTCCAAGCAAAGTCCAAAACTTTTAAGCCTAACACATATACCATTGAAATTCCCCTCGTTCTTTTAATCAATAGGTTATATTTATGAAGAATTACGATAACCCATATGTTTAACGTACTAGAAAAGAATCAAAAATAAAAATCAAGCTCAATATAAACATTGGGATAAGTCAAGACTCAAAACTCCAATTTGGAAAAGAGAATAAAATTTCGTTACAGAAGAACCCGGTAACCAATTAGTACATAAACTCCTCATTGGTAATGAAAAAATATTTCCTCTTTATATTACACTTACCGGGCAACAAAACATTACAAAGGACAGAAATGGAGCTCATACATGAGCAAAATCCATCGGTTTCAAAATCACATATAAATGAGATTCAAAAACTAACTTCCATCATTTATATTCAGTTTTTCAGCAATGAAACCAATCAGGAACAGTCCCAAAAAAAGCCTGAGCCACAAAATCTTAACACACAATAATAACTAGATCCAAATTACAAATCCAGAAACCCTCTGCCTGGTGCAACTTAAAAAGCCTACTGACACATTATATACTTGCTTCTGTAACACAAGATTAAAGCACATTTTCCCTTCATTCCCTTTCATTTTCTACTAAACTAAACA